CTATAAGATTTAATTACCTAATATTTAATTATGTATTAGTATTTTAATTGAAGGTTTAAATTTACACCAACATTGCCCTATAATTAAAGGGTCACATCCTAATCTTTCTCCCATTAGAGGGTGCGACTTTTGATGTTGTTGTAGGGACATTAAATATGTAGCGAAAATACAAATAACATAATATTTATAGATTTAAAATATTCATAATCTATTATTTGAACGTATTGTAATATTGTTTACAATACATGAAGTTCGTATGATAGAGTTAAAATAAAATATACCCGTTCAGTTACAAAATGTATTTGATGTCACCGGTGCTCGTTAAGTTTTTTTTTTATATAATTTAAGCGTGAGATCCTATTGATCAACAACCGGATATTCTTAATATAACAAGATGATAATTTAATGGGATGAACACTTTCAACGCGTTAAGTAAGTATAAGAAATATAGTACGCCTTAAGCATACGACATACAGTCAAATACTGTCCCATAAGTTTAGATATTATTTCATTTAAATTATAATCTTTTTCATATCAGGTCGGAGAAGATAAATTATATAGCCAAATAAAAAATTTCGTGTTTAGTTTTCATCATGCTGAGTTTTAGTCCAATTGTAGACTCGGCGTAATTTTATAATCTCGTAATATAAATTATGTTACATATTATATAAGGGATGACTAGTTTTTGTTGTACTTTTTATTTTTAAATTTTTATATTGTATTTTTTGGTTCAGTTGTGTTTGTCGACGTAGTTTATTGATTCGAAAACCGTAGCTCATCACAGTATTTATATCAAGAAAAATAAAAAATATATTTAGAATTATCAAGATAAATACAAGTATAATTTTATTTTATTTTATTTTAAAATAAACAATATAGTTATTAATTGGAAAACAAAATCACTTATTTCAGTGACAAATCACTTTCTCAAATATTATGTAAATATGGAAATAATTATCTTATCATTACAACATGATCATGTTATGGATTGTAGAACATTAATTAGCATAATGAAGGAGATAAACCAAAATTAAGGGATGATTATTATAATTAATTAGCTTTTTTAATTGGTAATTAGAAACAAATATTTGTTATTTAATTATTGTATATGTATAATTTATGATCGTACTGATGATATAGTACCACAAAATAATTAAACACAATTAAATAATAAAGAAAATATAATCATTTCAGATATATATATTAGAGGACAATTTTTTTTACCATTTTTCGTAATTTATTTTTTGAAATTATTTTGTAATTTATTTTAATTAAAATAAAAATATATTATATTTGTGGAGCCCACGTAGTAGTATCTTTCCAAATCCCCAAACTTCAATTTCGAATGCACCCTGTGGATAAGCCTTCTTCTCTTCTTCCTTCTTCCCTTCATCTTATTCAAAAAGAGAAAACGCTCATTTACAGAGAAAAGAAGAACAAAATATCTCAACAAAGCTCGAGAAAAAGCTTCAAATAAGCGGCCATGTTTATCATCAACCACCGCTCCCTGCGCTTCCACCATTAACAATCCACCAACTTCAGCAGAGTGGGAACAGAAACGAAATCAACGAGTAAAAAAACCCGCCGAGCGGAACAGAGAGAAATGTCAGTTTTGGCGGCGAATTCGCATATTTTATGCAGAGAATTATCCCGCAGAGACCGTCAACATCAACATAACCAGTTATGGGGAAGTGGCTGTCCTTCGTTATCCCAAAAACCATGTGGGATTTTCTGGGTCGATCATCGGCGACCCAGGAACTGCAAAGGAGTGGTGAACAGAGATTTGAGAATGGCGGCCTTTGGACGTGATTTGTCTAAACAGGATGCAGTTGCAGAGATGGAAGAAATCAGAGACTGTGATCATCTTGATCAGATTCTTCTTCGTGCACAAGAACTCTCCAAGCCCATTCTCATTGACTGGTAAGAATTGTGCACTTTAATCGGGTTTTTGGATTGTGGATATAAAAAATTTCCTCAAATTTTTTGTAGGATGGCTTCTTGGTGCCGGAAGTGCATATACTTGAAGCCGAAGTTGGAGAAACTGGCTGTTGAGTTTGATACCAAGTAATTATTATCAACTCCATTCCTCCTCCCCCTCTTTTCATGAGCATTATATATATATACGTATGTATATAATGCATCATAGTCTTTTAAGAGTCAAATGGAATTACAATGAATTGATTCCTAGAAGGTACAAAAATTATGGTTGACTTTGTTGTCTGGTTAAATGGAAACCAGAATCAAATTTTACTGCGTGGATGTAAACAAGGTGCCTCAAGCTCTTGTCAAGCGTGGAAAAATCTCTGTATGCCATTGATACTTCTCTTTCCTCAACTTTGTCATACAGTTTCTGGATGTATCACTTTTGGTTTTTCCCCTCTATTTCCTAACAAAGTTTTCTCTTGGTGCTTCTTCTGCAGAAAATGCCAACCATTCAGGTATTCTCCCTTCCACTTCCCAGCTTACATTTAATTTTATAAATATATTATCTCAATCAATCAACTGTCGAAAAGTTGGGACAATCTCATAATTGTGTAAAGGGACCGTTAATGGAATTTTAATTTGAAGGGTATTTTTATCCAAAAGGGATTAGAGAAAGAAATCTGAAACTCGGAATGCAGGTGTGGAAAGATGGAGAGATGAAAGAAGAGGTGATTGGAGGGCATAAAGGATGGCTTGTGATTGAGGAAGTGAGGGAAATGATCAAGAAGTTCGTATGAGATTTTGTGGATTCCTTTCACTTGATCCGTTTCCATGTCTACAGAATATGGCCTTTGTTGTAAGTCTATATATGTATATATACAGGCACTGTAATAAAACCACCTTCAATCAATGTCGATTGAGGAGGTTTTCTTTTTTCCCTCAAGGAAAAGAAGCAATAGCTTAGTTTTTGGTCATATGGGCAGTACATACACAGCACTTCGAATTTGAGAGGCAATTAGAAACGAAGGAGAATCCCTTTGGGAATGTGAAGGTCCTTTGCAAATTGATTAGCAAGATAGCAGACATGGGAGAAACTCTGATGAAAATCCAGAGTGATTAACACAAGAATCATATCATACACGATCAACATTTCCCATCTAAAAAATCTATTGCACCCTTTAATCATTCGTATGATTCTAAAGCCTAAACCCCAAGTAATTCAGGCATAGTGTCAAAAGCTGCTAGTGCCTTTTAATTTCAATCCAAGGCCATTACGACACTCTCAGTATCACCAGAACATGTCAACCACATCAAATATATGCATATATGGATTAGCCAAAGCAAATTATTCCAGCCAACATAAATTCCCAGGCACTCAATCACCAAAAACGGGATAGGAGAAAGCAGCCAAAATAAAGAACTACCAGTGGCACCTTTCAGAGGCTATGGGAAAGCAGATCAAGTAGATACGGAAATAGGATTGATCTCTTTAGTGATTGTCAGCTTATAAGCTCAAACACGAAGTAGTTTATCTGAAAACATGTGTGATGATATTCAGTTCAACACTAAGTAAAAAACATGTTCAAGTACAAAACAAGACCATCTGAAACAACAACACTATCGTAACTCCTAGACTTTTTGAAGATCAACCAGTATTTTATAGCTGGAAGAAAGATTTGGTAGTGAAATTCTACACTTGGCAAAGCAATATTTCTTATTTCAGAATAAACGTAAATCATATTCCAAAACCAAAAACAGCTCGTATCTTGTGGAAGATAAGATCCCGCCATCCTCTCTCTGTGTTCTCCACCACTGTTGCATTCCCATATCTGGATGAAAAAACAGAGAAACAGTACAGGGTAATTAACAAGAAGACGAAAACAGAGAATGAAAGTAGAGTTATATTTACAAATTCATCAGCAAAAAACTAACCTGTCTTCCTCGGGAACATCAGTATGAGCGAGCTTAACAATGGTTACTCCAGCTTCCAGCTCTTCAAAAGTAAGTCTTACCTGAAACAATAACATAATCGTACACATATAAGTTCATACCAACCAATGTACCAAGTGAAGTTACCAAGATGCATCCAAGAACATCAATGTAAACATACCATTGATTCAACCCCATCAGGCCAGCTTCCGAACCTCCATTTTTGCACAATCAACTTTCCTTCCTGCAACTCCAGGTTGGTTCCAGTTACAGACCCATCAAAAATGCTGAAAGGCCCACCAACCTCCTTGCTAATTCTGGCATTGCTCTGAGTGAACCCTTTCCATCTATTCTCATCCATGAGAATCTCATACAAATCCCTCGCTCTGCAATTGAATCGCTCGGTCAAAGTAATCGTCTTGAACCCTTTCTTCTCTTCTTTCTTCTTCTTCTTCACTTCCTCCTTCACTTCTTCCTTCTTCTCCACAACCCCCTCTTTCTTCACCGCCGCCGCTGGTACTGCTTGTTCCTTCGGCGCCACCTTTTTAGTCTCCAAATCATCCTTAGCAGGTCCGCCCTTCGCCATGCTCTGGACGTAAGCCCTAACCTTATCCAAAATCAACGGTTTGCCTTTACTCAACATGGCCTCCTTCAACATCTTCCCAATTGGTCCATCATCCTTGATAGAAACCTTAACTTCTGGATCCTCGTCGGCATTCTCGTCGGCAATATACGGGATCTCGACGCCGCCTTCCGCCTTAAGAAGCGTCTTGCCAGCGGAATCCCTGGCCTCACCCTCCCAAGATAGAGAAACGCTGATTTCATAACCAGGAATGATCTTCCCTTTCCTGATATTGACATAGGCCTCACCATCCACCTTCTCGATCTTCGTCGTCTTGAGATAGATGCCGCCTTCTCCTTCGAGAACGGGCATGTTGGAGAGATGGTTGGAGAGGAAGCTGCGGGACCACTCGAGACAATTGGTCTCCGCCCAGTGCCAGTTATGCACGTTGGTTCCATCCGATCTCTCCTCCACGATCCACCGCTTGTCACCTTCTCCGTACTTCGCCATTGATGAAACCTTACTAAGTTTCAGAGACGGAGACTAACCGAATCGAGAGAAGACTGAAACAGAAATGAGAGTAGCTAGAGAGAGAAAGACAGGTGCGTTAATGGATGTCGAGAGCTGAGAGAACAGAGAGGGGGGAAAATAGGAGAAGAGGAGGAAACGAAAGAAGACTAGAGGGTTCCTTTAGCAACGGAAGGGTCTAGAATGTTGACGTCTCCATAAAAGTAGGTGCTGAGAGTAATTTTAGAAATTATTATTATTATTTTTTTTAATTTTCTTATTTTTTTGGAGATTTGGAAGTGTCTAGAAACCATTTAGAAATCAAGTTAGGGTTTTCAGAAATTTGAGTGAAAAGCGAAATTAAGGAGAAGACAAAGGGGGATTACTACACCTTAATTACCGTCTCCCAACCCTGCCGTCTAGCAACTTGAACACCAAAAGCCCGCCAGAAAAAAAAGCTGAACACCTTAAAATGTCAGAAAGAATAGTCCTTTGCTTCTATGATTGTATTTTGGTGTTTTCTTCATGAAGCCGACTCAGCGATTCAAGCGAGTCGCTGATAGGCCGAAGAAGAACCCGAATGAAGCAGGGAACGATTCCATGACTCGCGCAAGTCCTCGTCTCAAATCGTTGACCAGGCGCAGAATCCAATATGGGAAACCCACTCCTGAAATCCAGCCGATTCCCGTCTCTCGCCTCTCTCTTCACCAAATGTCGATCATTTCACCGGAGTTCTTCCAGATTGACGCTCTCGATCTTGCTCCGCGTTTGCTCGGCAAGTTCCTAAAGAAAGATGATGTCGTGCTACAGATTACAGAGGTAGTAAATGCTTTCTTTATTTTCTGTTTGTTTCTCGAGATAATGCAGGAAGATAATTGAAATTTAGGGATTTTGGGTTGTAGGTTTTGCATTGCCTGCCTTCTTTTGACTCCATCACCTTTTCTTTCTTAGGTTTGTGGGACAACTCTAATGACATCATACTGCAAAATAATGCAGTTCTGTAGAGAAAAATAGAACGCTTGCCATCTTCTCTTTCATATGATGAAGAATTAACAATAATTTCTGATCAGGTGGAAGCTTATAGACCTAATGATTCAGCTTGTCATGGTCGATTTGGAATCACAGCGAGAACAGCTCCAGTAGTAAGTTTGTGTTTCCATTTGCATGGCCTGACTTTGAAGTTTATTGTTCCATGATGTAACATTGATTCTGTGCATATAGTTCGGACCAGGAGGACATGCTTATGTTTATCTTTGTTATGGTCTCCATACAATGCTCAATGTTGTTGCTGACAAGGAAGGAGTTGGAGCGGCAGTTCTAATACGCGCCTGTGCTCCTGTTGATGGTAGCTTTCCATATCTATCAGCAGTATTTAGTTTGTTCTCCTGTCTATATTCATTGGACTTGTGCTCCACTTACCTGCTGATTGCTTGCAGTTACTTGTTTTCAGCTTTGTCTTCAATGATAAAGAAAGTTCATGATTCTTTATGTAAGACAATTATTTGTTATGCTAATCTCTGTTGTTTTGGAGTTTTACTTTTATGGTCATATCCGTGTTGGTCATAGCGCGATGGTGGTGTGTGTATGATATGCATTGTCTGTATGTTGCACATTTAATGGTGTAGAAACAGAGTGTATGACGTAGGGAAATATGAAAAAAATGCTAAGACTTCAGTTTAGGAGTTGAAAAAGAATATGGAAATGAAAAAAAAAAAATTGGTTCTTCAGTGTCTAAAATATTGGATGCTTTACTCAAATCCCTTGACTAATCCGTATCCATCCTTGCCTTCTCATTTCTGTTATAAATGTGAATCTATGTGTATGAATATATATGTATAGAAATGCATTGGTGCTAAAGAATATTCTTTTATTCATATATATATGAAATCATCTTACCTTCCAATGGCCTTATATTAGTTTTATTATTTTCATATTAAACTTTGGATCCCACACAATTTTTGGATTCTCTTTGACTAAATTCCCGTATCTTCCACTATAAAAATTACCAAGTTGGATACTTAAATCCACTTCTAACTGAATCCGAGCAACATAGATGCTAATATAAGACCATCAACGAACTAATTGAGATGAATGGTTGCTAACTTTGTATAGAGTACTTGATAAGGAAAATATTTTTGCTATTTATCTTTTAGAATGAACACATTGGCAGGACTGAAGACTATTCAGGAGCGCCGGGGTCAGAACACTGAGAAGCCGATTCTTCTTACCGGACCTGGCAAAGTTAGTTTTCAAATTTTAGTTTCTTCATATTTTACTTCTCTGTTGCTTGTTCTTTTCTGCTTTGATTACTAGTTTGCAATACTATGATTTTCACTAATGGAATAGCACAGCACTTAAAATAAATTCTATGCTTATTTGGAGGCCTTACAGCAGCCCCTAGCGTAGGAATGCTATTTTTGTTCAACAATTTTCTGCACCTCTGGTAACTGATGAAGTGAATATAATGTCATGGGAAAATCCTGACATGGTTACATTTTGGTGCACACGATCTTAAAAGTTATCGAGAGAGAATGTATGTTCTTTGTTTCATATGTTTATTTATCTCTTGGGAAATTGAACTTCTTGCCATTATTAATCTCTCAGTACTTGATACTGAGGAACAAAGATTGATCTTCTGAGAGAATGAACCCAATGAATCAAAGTACTCATGAGTACATCAAACTAAAGAGCAACTCTTTATTAATTTAGGAGATGCAGTAATTAGGGATTGGCTCCTTCCACAGCTCATCTTTAATAGATAGTTGGGAGGACTGTGGTTGGTAGAATCAATGTTTGGATTTTTCAGTTTCCTTTGTACCGCCTATATTTATATAAGAAGTGTGGAACTTGAAGCTGATGGTTGTGAAAGAATTGCTAATGCAAACTTTTACTTTTTAGACTGATAAATTTTAGGGAACATGCTGGGTCTATAAATAGCAATTTCTTGAATGGTTCAATTACTTTTGTTAGGAGACTTAGAGAATTTGCTTGTAATATAAACTTAGGTTATTCACCTGCACAGCTGCTCTGAAACTAAAATATTAATATCATCTGTAGAAGTTGTATGTTTCTTGATATTTTTGTTCAGCTTCCTTTCAGCTTTGGGGGTGCTGAATGACCGTTTTCATGTTTAGGTTGGTCAAGCACTGGGAATATCAACAGAATGGTCTAGCCATGCTCTCTATACTCCTGGTAAGTTACCGATCATGCATATAAATCTGGCTGCATTCACTGTGGTTACGCTCAATGTCATAATCTCCTGAATTGATTTGATCCAGGTGGGTTAGAACTCTTATATGGTCCAGAACCAGAAAGCATTTTGGTGGGTCCTCGCGTTGGCATCGAATATGCTCAACCTGAGCATGTAAATGCCTTGTGGAGATTTGCCATTGCTGGCTCCCCCTGGATAAGTGCTCCTAAGAACACTCTTAGGCCTCCCTAAACTTCGAGTTCTCTGCTAAAGAGCCTAGAGAGGTTGGAGTCATTTGTAAGGCAAGGATGGCCGGAGTCCATTTGTAAAGCAAGGAAGAAATGTGAATAGCTTTTTTTTTCCTTCTTTTTGTTTAAGGACCATCGATCAGCGTGTGAAAGCCCAAAACAAAGGGCACGATAAGTAATATATATATAGATATGTGAAGTATAATTTTATTTATGCGCAACTGTTCTTACTGTATTTCCAACATAGTTACTTTCATGACTGTTCATAGTCGACAATAATGTGCCATTTTTTACAGTAGCCATCCATGATCTTGCAACCAAACAGCGACACCATACCTTGAACTTTAAGGCAAGCTCATTCAACAATATATCAAGAATTCCAAGTTACAGACTTTCGCCAAGCTCATCAACAATATTACAGTCTGTCTAAAGATCACTCTTCCTATAGCACAAACAGAGAATCCCAGGAAAGGGCATGAAGGAACTGACATATTCCTTATTATTCAACTGTATGCTACAAAAATATACAATCTAAGAAAAGGGACATTGCAACCATCCAATATTACACACCGAAGAACCTAATAAACAGTCAGGTCTAAAACGTGTACAATACTACAATGAATATCGCCAACAAACCTAACCAACGGTCAAGCTATGTTCGACAACAGAAGTAAGATATATAAGAACCTTCACTCAAAGCTGCACATAATCCACAAAAAACAATGCCTATCTGAAAGGTAAGAAGACATGTCAGTAAACATACTAGATTATGTGTAAATACAATGTATAAGCATAAATGGCTATGATTTTCCCCATACCTAAAATCAACGGTAGAAGCATGAACCAATTGGTCCCCATGTCAGCAAGGTAAAGCATGATTGCTTCATCAAGTCCCAGTGGTAAGCAATTAATGAACCATACACGATAGTTCATGCCTTAGGTATAGTGCAGCGAATCCTTGAACTAACATGTAACAACAACTTCCCTATCCAGTAACCTTCAACCGACTATAAAACTCAGTGAAGTCAAGCCGGAAAAACAGGAACTTTAAATCAATGTGTTGCTGCACAGGCAACTGCGCTAAGAAACCCTCAAGCAATGACTTATATTCTTTTGCTATTGCATCCAGATCTTGTCCCATATTTCGAAGAAATTCACCAGCACGTTGCGTCAAGGCTTTCCTGCCATCGCTGATCCATGATCTATGCTCTAATGATTTATCCCTTTTTCGCCTCCTTAACTGGTCCTTGTCTCTGGATGGTAGTGAGGATTCCATGGTTCTGCATAAAATGGAAAGCAAGTGTT